TTCAGCCACTCACAACAAGCATTTGATGAAAAATCAGTTAGATGTTTTATCCTTGAAATCTTAAGAAGATCCAAAACATCTATTCAAACTTTACAATTGTCTAGTTTTTATCTTTATAAATTGATTGTTACCAAAAAAGATTTTATCAATTTGGATCCAAAAAAGCTTTTTCTCGGATTGATTATTGTGGCTTCGAAATTCAATCAAGATTATAACTATTCTTTTAGATCATGGTGTAAGATTTGTGGATTAAATGAAAGTTATGTTGCCAATTTAAGAAAAATTGAATTTGAAATTTTAAATAAATTGGATTATGAATTAAGTTTAATCAATAAAAAATATGAAAATTGGTGTAATTTATTATTGATTTTTGGTTATGATTTTATTAAATATCAACTTATTAATGATGATAAGAATGACATTTTCTGGGATGATAAAATTAATGAAAAAATTTCAAGTTGGCATCAATTCTTCATTCATTTAAGTTTGAATAGCTTAGATGTTCTTGATGTCAACTTCACTGATTACTTTAAAAATCAATTAAACAAAAAAGTTTTCATTGTTGATAATGAAAGCATTTTGAATTCTACTGTTGTTGCTTCTTCTTCTTCATCATCCTCGTCTTTGTCAAAAAAGAGAGCAGGCTCTTCATTGTTCAATGATCATGAACAAACAGTTAAGAAAATAAAAGTCTAATAAATAGACTTGTTATTTTTTTTTTTTGTATAGGTATTATATAGACACATTAAAACAAAAGATATAAAGACAGAAACGAGATAAAGTTATTTAAAAAAAAAAATTTCATTTTTTAATTTTAATTTTAGAAAGAAAACATTACTGTATATACAAGCATCCGTCAGATCCCCATTTACCTTTAACAATATTGATTGGCATAAATCCTTCGTTATCCTTAGAAATAGCATTATCTAAATTACCATTGACGACATTAATAGTCTTCCCAATGGTATAACCACGAATCATCAAGTTACCCCAGTTGGTTTTCAGTAAATTATTCAATTTGATTTCTAATGACTGGAAAATGCATCCAAACTTCTTGAATGTAATTTTATTAAACTGGCGATAATCATAGAAATCAGTTAAAATAATAGGTCCCATAACATTATAATAGTTCAACTCTTTAACAACTCTTGCCTTGTATCTCATTCTCAAAGAATTCAATTCATAATAGGACAAAGTTGATTGCATATTAAGTGAATTGTAAATATAGATCAACTTATTATTCTTAAATGGGAAAACTCCTCTTGTCAATAAATATCTTTGTAATAATTGCAAATTTGAATCAACTGAAGTTCCTGAAAATACTTTCAATAATTGTGATTCAGGTATGGATATAATTGAACTTAAATTAGCCAATGATGATGAATCGTCACTATCTTTATCATTAATAGCAGAAACTCTATCAGTGATAATGATTTCAGAATACAACATAAACCCAGTAAGCATTTTCACAATAATGTCATTTATACCTTCATTGCTGCCAGTACATGAAATAATGGTCATTTTGGCCCCATAGAAATCATCACTATTTGGCAAATGCTTCAAGGTTGATGCAACAGCACTGACAATATTCAACTGGGTAAAATCAACAATAGAATCAATGCCATGTGAGATATGATTGTGTAATCTAATCGCTATTCCTTTATCTTTATCCGGGGTATAGACATTCTTGAATTCAAAATATCTCTTTTGTTCTTCCTTTGGTAACTTTATATCTGAAATATGAATAGCATCGGTGGTTTTAATGGGTAAATCAATATAAAATTCCACAGTTAATTGTTTGACAAACCCAAGTAATACTGTAATGACCCATTTAGCATTGATTTGATGGTTTTTGGGAATAAGAATAGTTTTGTACCTGCTCATATCAATCTGGTCAATACAGTAATTGATATAACTCACTGATATCTTCTCATTGTTAACCAATATCCCTTTGTCAAACTCTTTTGAGAATCTGATCAAAATCTCCCAGATATCATTCAAATTACCATTTCTTGATTTATAGGAATCATATCTGATATCCAATCCAACACGTAAACCAGACAATTTGTTTGAATGATACACCGGTGATTCATTGATCAATCTAGTTGGTTCAATTACACTTTGTTCTTGAAGGTACAATTCCGGGACATCTTGTAAATATGTCAATCCGTGAATAAATATATAAATAGCTGCAACAGAAATTGCAAATAATAGTAGTGAATTTTCAACCATAGGAGGCGGTGAATAAGATAAAAACGATCCCATCTCTAAATTTAAAAAAAAATCTTTTGGTAAATCCTTATGATTAAATATGAAGCCACTCCCCTTGCCGTTAATTAGTTACACGTAATATGCATAAGCAAACAACTCTGCGTTTAAAAGGGCTCCGTCGTCGTATAACCCAATGCTTTTTTTTTTGTATTGTATTGTTTTGTTTTGTTTTATTTCTTTCCATCGCTCTGTGGTGGTACCATCAGTCGATACTGTACTTCCGTATTGGGTGATTTCGCGTTGGGGAGGAAACTTTTTTTTTTTGGTCGTGGCCGTTGCGGTCGTGTCTTGACCCAAGATTTAGTATGGACGTGTACATATGACCAAAAAAACATTCCCTTTGAGTGAGTCCAAAGTTTTTTTTTTTTTTTGTTGTTGTTTTTCGTTTTTACGCCAAAGAAAACGAAATGATTCTTAGCCCCGACACATAAACATTTGAAATTGTTTTATTTTGAATTTAACTTCAACAAATCAACAAATACAAGCCACCTAGATTCTATCTTGATGTTAAAATTTAAAAGCATTCATCACTTACTGGTGATATTGATACTTATATGGGTTATTACGTTTTACCTACAAGAACGTTACTTGACTTATTCCAAAATACTGCACTGCCACTGGCCCAAACTTAAAGACCCTGATCAGACCAATATTTTATTGATTGCTGATCCACAACTAATAGACAATCATACTTATCCTGGTAGAAATGATTTGTTATTGAAATTATCTCAGCATACAGTAGATACATATATAAAGAAGAATTACGATGCTTTACTTGACACTTTGACACCCAATTATATCATGTTTCTTGGTGATTTATTAGACAATGGGAGAGATTCAAGTGATTCATATTTCAATGGAGAATTTGGGAGATTTAATAGAATTTTCAAACCAAATGATAGAATGTATTTAAATGTTCCTGGAAATCACGATATTGGATTTGGTAATGGAGTTAATATTCCATATAGAGAAAGATTTGAAAGTTCTTTTGGGGCTAGTAATACTATAGTTGATATCAAAGGAGTAGAATTTGTTTCATTGGATACTCCTAGTATAGCATCCACAGAAGAAAAAATCAATAAACCTGCCCGTGACTTTTTGGCATCAATGAGTGCAAAATCAAAACCAAGAGTATTGTTAACTCATATTCCATTGTATCGAGACCCTAATTTATCGTGTGGTCCATTACGAGAAACTTCTTATTTTGACGTTAATGGGTATGGCTACCAATATAAGAATTCCGTGGAAGAATCGTTGTCGAATGAAATTCTTAACAAGATACAACCAGATATTACATTTACAGGAGATGATCATGATTATTGTGATATTCAGCATGAAGGAGGATACAGAGAGATCACTGTCAAATCAATGAGTATGGCCATGGGAAAGAAATACCCTGCTGTGCAACTATTAAGTTTTACAAATAACCAAGAGTTCCAATATGAGACAGACATTTGTTTTTACAGACTCCATATATCAATGTTGCTAACTATATTATTCTTGCAGTGGTATCCAGTATACTTATATTTTGGTGGAATTTGAAGACAAAATCAACTAGATTCACATACACCTCCATCCTACCATTGTATGATGTAGTTAACATTCCGGTTGAACAACATTCAAAGAAAATACAAAAATTCATCAAAGAACAAGATGAAGAATTGGAAATCAAAGATTTATCCCCATTTGCCAGTTCTTCAACAAATACATATTCTTTACCAAGTTCCATTCCCCAGTATACATTCACCCAATCCAATTACAACCAAAGATCTAGACTTTTAACCAGATTCAACAATTCCAGAATCGGCAAAATTTATATTCTCAACAAAAGAAGAATCTTCAATTTCTTGAAAAGATACAATTTGATAAGTTTTGTCAAACAATGCTTTGTATTAGGTGGTGTGATTATCGTAATCTATTATTTAGGGTTTGTTATCACTTTGTACTAAGAATATAAGACACCGAGGACATTTAAGTTCTCTCACGTGATACACTTACATAATGAGTACTAAGAAATATTTTTGATGTAATTTTTAACATGGCTGCGAGAAAACAAAGTTGAACCAAGAAAAATAAAATTTTAAAGCCATGTTTCAGATTTTTTTGTTTGTTTGTTTTAATACATATAAAGAACAAGAGGAATGTGTTTAAAGTTGTATTTTTCTTTTTTTTTTTTTTTTGTTTATTTATTTTAATAACTTTAAAAATATTAATAATAAATAATTGAAGTTTAACCGTATAGTTCCCATTCCCCTTTTCTTACTGAAGAAATAGTCAAAGAAAATATATTTACTCTCAAAAAAAAAAGAACAAAAAACAGTACAAGATTATATTATTCGTTAAAAAGAAAGAAAGAAAAAAAAAAACCACTTGTCTATACTAGTTTTCTTTTTATTTTGATTGATTTTATATATATATTTATTTATATTCACTCTTTATATTTGTTTAATATTTACTGGAGAAAAGAAAAATGGGTTGTGGTGCTAGTGTTCCCGTTGATAATGAAGAAATGGATCCATTTCTTCAAGACAAGAGGATTAATGATGCTATTGAACAAAGTTTACAATTACGTAAACAAAATTCAAAAAATGGAATTAAATTATTATTATTAGGGACAGGAGAAAGTGGTAAGTCAACAGTGTTAAAGCAATTGAAATTATTACATAAAGGCGGTTTTACACAACAAGAAAGAATGCAGTATTCAAATGTTATTTGGTGTGATGTTATACAATCAATGAAAACATTAATTATTAATGCTAGAAAATTAAAAATAAAATTAGATTGTGATCAGCCTAATAATCCTTTAATTCCTTATAAACAAATAGTCTTAAGAAGTGATCCTTTAAAACAAATTGATGCTGATATTGCTGGTGGTACTGATTTTATTAATGATTATATTGTTAAATATAGTGAAGAAAATAAAAATAAAAGAAAATTGAAAAGTACTGGTGCAACAGATATTTGGGGACAAGATGATGATTATGATGTACATCAAGAAACTATTGAACAACATTTACAATCTAATAATCAACCACAACAATATTCAAGATATGAAATTGCTCAAGCTATTCATAAATTATGGACTTCTGATTCAGGAATTAAAAAATGTTTTGAAAGATCAAATGAATTTCAATTAGAAGAAAGTGCTGAATATTATTTCCAAAATGTTTTCAATTTTGCTGATCCAAATTATTTATGTAATGATTTGGATATTTTGAAAGGAAGAATTAAAACCACTGGGATCACTGAAACTAATTTTATCATTAATTCATTGCAATTTAAAGTATTGGATGCAGGTGGTCAAAGATCGGAACGTAAGAAATGGATTCATTGTTTTGAAGATATCACTGCAGTATTGTTTGTATTGGCAATTTCAGAATATGATCAATGTTTATTTGAAGATGAAAGAGTTAATCGAATGCATGAATCAATTGTTTTATTTGATTCTTTATGTAATTCCCAATGGTTTGCTAATACTCCTTTTATACTATTCTTAAACAAAATTGATATATTTGAAAAGAAAATTCTTAAAAGTCCAATCAAGAAATATTTCCCTGATTTCAATGGTAAATCTGATGATGTTAATGAAAATATCAAATTTTTTGAAACAAATTTCATGAATATTAATAGAACAAATAAACCAATTTATGTTCATAGAACTTGTGCCACCGATACAACTTCAATGAAATTTGTTTTAAGTGCAGTAACTGATTTAATCGTACAGCAAAACTTGAAAAACAGTGGTTTAATGTGAGAGTTCACCTCCAATATCTGAATTATTAACATATAGATATTTGATGTATATTAAATTCGTAATGGTTGTCTTTTATATTTTTCATTTTAATTTGGTATTTTAATTGTTGTTTATGCTTGTTTGCCGTTACTGTTTTTATTTGATAAGATGAAAATATAAATGTTATTATTATTCTTTTTTTTTTTTACGTTTATATTATTATACACATTCTACTCTTTCTCTCTACCATCTCATCATGGCCATTTCATTTCTGTTTCTGTTGTAGTCCAACAAATCTTCAATCAAACCGGTACCGGAAATGACAATATCTCTGTCCCAGACCTTAGATTTACCCCATTCTTTAACATCATTAACTTTAATGGAATCAATCTTTTCAAAAGCTTGTTCCAAAGATTCTCTGTGTCCAACCAACAAAATGTTTTCAGCAATGTTGGCAGCAGCAGCATTGGAAGAACCAGTCAATTCTTTAATCAAAGCAGTCTTGACTTGGGCCTTGGCACGAGCAACTTCAGCTTCGGAAATGGAAATGGATAATCTGTTCCATTGTTTTAATGAGAAATGACAGAAGTCATCAACAGTAAATCTGTCAGAAACTTCGGCATAGTAACCCCAAACACCAGTATCGGAGAAAGATTTGGAGAAATGGTTGTAAGATTCAACAAGGTTGTATTCTTGAACATCAGAAGCCAATTTTGGAGAAGTGTATTTAGCAATAGTGGAGTGGGCATTGAAATCACCGAAAATGGCAGCAGCAACTTTAGCCACAAAATAGTTTGGAGAGTTCAAACCTTCACCGTGAACAGCAATAGAGAAGTATGCTTTTGGCATGGTATCATCTCTCATTCTGACTTCAGAACCCAAAAATGAGGCTGGTTTGGTGTCTGGTTTAACACCAGCTTCAACTTTCAAACTGGATTCAAGAACTTCAACTAATTTATCGTGGTCAAAGTTACCAGCGGCAGCAACAACAGTGTTGTTGGTAACAAAGTGTTTAGACAAGTGACGAACGGCATCTTGGTTTTCCAAGTTCTTGATGGAGTCAGTGGTACCCAAAGTTGGTAAAGCCAAAGAGTAACCTTGGAAAGCAGAAGCTTCCAAATGACTTAAAACTCTTGATCTTGGATCGGCTTCAACAGCAGCGGCTTGTTTGCTCAACAATTCCTTGTGTTTGGTCAAATCGGTTTTGTCCGCAATTTCAATGGCATTGGAACCAATAGAAGCAATCAATTTACCAGCTTCAAGAATGTTATCGTTGGTGGTTTGAGCAATGACACCATTCAATTCTTTACCATTAACGGCGGATAATAAAGAACCTTTGGCTGGTTGAGAAGCCAAGACGTTGGCAGACAATGCAGAAATACCATTGCTATGGGAGTGTTCAGTTCTGGAACCACCACCGATGAATAAACCAACAGATGAAGTTTTGGCACTTGGGTTAGTTTCAGTTGCAAGTGTGACACCATTGGATAAGGTGGTGTATTTAGTGCCAGTGGAATATAAACGACGAGAAGTTAAGCTCTTTAAAACAGATGATCCACGAATCATTTTTCTTTATATATCTTATACAATTGGTAATAAAAAGGGAGGGATGAATAGGTAGATATGACTGGGGGAAGAGTAATCAAACAGGGGAAATGTATAATCTTTGTAATAACTTTTGAAATTTTTTTTTTTTCTTTCTTTCTTTCATTTCTCAGTTTTCTCTTTCTCTCTTTGTTAGTAAACTGCTCACAGGAAAAATTTCCAGCCAATTAGAAAGTATGAATTATTACCAGAAACTTATTATGCGTGCAGTAGTGCGCCAGAGGACAGAAAAAAAAAAAAACATTAAAATCAAGGTAGTGTGTTAACCATTTGTATTGGAGAGTTATTATACATACTACGTGGTAGCACCTGGTATACTATTTTGATGGTGGGACACTTTTTGTAGTGAAGATATCTTCATTTTCGTTATTCATGATTCTAGCATCAATAAAATCACCTCTAATGTTTTGGTTGTTAACCATAGGAATAGTACCACTTCCTGTAGATAATCTAGCTGCCGATAAAGAAATGTCATTTAAAACTAATTTCCAAATCTTATTGTTATCTTGTTTCATGGACATGATTTCATCAATACTATTCTCTGCTTGTTGAGGTGCTGGTGGTACAACATGAGTTTCCTCTTTCACTTTGATATCATTGCTATCACAGGTGGTTTCATTATTATTACTATTGCCTGAAACTCTAGGCAAACTATTCATGACAAAGTTGTACAATTTATCCTTGACGTGGTTGGATTTTCTTGTTGATGAAATAGTTGATTCCATTGCTGGTTTTTCAAATACATGACATTGACACGTGCATGGAGTGGAAGATGTACAATCTGTTACACCAGGTGTTTCTGTCTCCAAACTAATCAACGGTTGATCTGAAACTACCTGTTGTTGTTGTTCTCCTTCTTCTTCTTCACCTTCTTTGACTTCTCCTTTATCTCCCACCTCTTCTTCGCCGCTTGCATCTGCTTCACTTGATGATCCACTCATTTCTAAATCTAATCGGAACGACAGAAAGTATCCATCAACAAGGTTTGGTTCACTATAGTTTTTCTTAAGAATCAAGGAATTATGAGTTCTAAAAGTGACATTTTTATAATTTTCAAAAGCAATAAATTCTCTTTTAACCACGTTATCAAGTGAGTTTATTGTTGATGATGATGAAGAAGAAGATGATGGTGATAAATTCCCGGGTTCTTCATTTTCATGATCGAGTTTTCTATTCAAATGTAAAAAGTGTTGACCTTTACTAATAAGCAGTTTGTCATTTGGAAATGTTCTCAAGGAAAGAAGTTGTTGGTTTTCTAATTTTGTATGAATGACCCTAGGGTTATTATCCATACTGTAATACTTTTGCCTATAACCCACAATGAAATGATTGACATGGAACTTTAAATCATGATACATTTGGTTCATAAAATCCATGATTGAGATTTCATATACTATTGAGATCTTGAGAAGTATTTGAAAAGATCAAAGAAGATATAAATTTTTTGGAATGGAATTAATACAAATAAATTTTGATATTTTTTTCGTAATTTTTTGCAATCAAAAAATTTGAATAAATGAAATTTTTACACGACTGATAGCGTAACATGAGAAAATGAAATTATAAATTATTTACAGACTATATACAGCTACACCATCTAAAGTGAAATATAAGCTCTTTGTTGAGTTGCTTGTCTATGCATTTGTGCTTTCTTATCATATCCACTTGATTTACCTTGGTAAGCATTTATTATTTCTTCTGCTAATCTCACAGCAAAATCGTTGGATTTTTTATTGTTAGAAGCTTCCAATATCCATTTAATAGCAAATCTATTTCTTTGTTTTTCGTTTAATGGGATTGGGACAATTCTCTTTTTAGCAACACCAGTGGAGACAGTTTTGGTATTAACCAAAGGACCCAACTTGTCTAATGTTTCTTTCCATACTTCGATCGGATCTTGTCTTAATTTCAACTGAATAATGTAAAATGCACGACTAACGATTTTTTGTGCTTTGGCCTTTTTACCATGTCTCATAATAAGATTAGTCAAGTTATCAACAGTAGGATCAGATCTTAAAGGAATTTGTTTATCAGTGTATTTTTGGGCTTCTGCGATTTGTTCCACGGTAGGTTCAAAGGTCTTCTTTAAAAATTGTTCTGGTTGGGATAATTGTCCCAAGTAAATTTCTTCAGGAGTTTCATGAATACCTTTACCTCCTTTTAATTGTTGCACAGCATCAACCCATTTATCCAAATCTTCATCAGTGATTGTGTCTTTGTTGACTGGATAGATTTCAGCTAATAATGATTTTTGTTGTTGATGTTGTGATGGTTTTGTAGTACTGTTGAATCTAACTAAAGATGGAACAATTACTTGTGATACTCTAGGTATACGAGCTATTTTTGAACAACTTCTTATTAAGGACATTCTTGTTGATCAGCTATTAGTAGGTATTGCTTGAAGCAGAAGGAAAAATTTTCGCTCTCTTTCATTTTCTCCTTTCATAGTTGAATTGGTTTCCTTTTTTTTTTTTTCCCTCTGGTATTTGGTCGTGTAACAATTGACAATATCCGAGACTCGATTATTTACACGTCTATCTATCTATTTTTTTTTTTCATCATTGACTTTAAAACCCCAACTTATAGACAATGCCATTTGAAATTCCTGAATTGGATTCAGAATTGAAAGATGAATTAAATATAGTTGTTATCAACAAAACTTATTATCCTTCTAAATCGAACTTATCTTGGGAAACAGGAATTTTACCCAAACTAATAGCTAGACTTGACCAACTATGCCGATTATCACAACAAGGAGAAAGATTTGGGAAACCTAAAGGGGTTGATTTACCAGAGACAATTAATAAAATCAACGAGACAATCAAAAAACATCTAGTGTCAAATTTGACTTCTTCCCCACCATTCACGATTTATAGAATTGCAGAAATGATCATCGACCCAGATAATCAAGGATACAATCTAATAGACAACAATCAGCTATTCAAGTATTTCAATTCATTGAAAAAAGTATTTATTGTTTCATCTTCTGTTGAAGATTTTCCTCCGGTAGAATTGACTACAGAATCAGGAACTGATGAAGATACCAAACCAATTCGACAGATTGCAAATAATATATCATTAGTTGAAATTCCTTGGTTGGCAAACAATACAAAAGAGATCAAGACTACTCAAAAACGAAAGGATCTGGAATCCACAGACGAAAACGAGTCAAACAAGAAAATGAAGAACTGAGGCTGTTCAAAAGGAATATATTATACAATATATTATACTAAACAATTGGTTTCAGAAGGTGAAAATAGCCGAAATAAAGATTAGTCTTCTATAATGCTGATAACAACATTTATTTTAATACACAAATATATTAGTATCTTCTTGGAGATCTTGATGGGGATCTTGATGGAGATCTGGATCTATTTCTGGTAGGTATATAAGTGTCCGTTCTTCTGCTTCGTTCACCACCATTTGGAACATAGGTGTCAAATCTTCTTGGACGATCTCTATCGCCATACCTATCAAATCTACCTCCTCCACGTCTTGGTGGTGGCCCTCTTCTTGGCGGTATGTATCTAGGAATAAAGTCACCATTCAACAAAGTATGTGAGGCAACTACTTCATCCTCATCTCTTTTTTCAAATTCCAATTTCCATTTACCATCTCTTGGTCCTCTATCTTCCTCGAAAGTCCATTGATTTATAGCTTTGACCGGAATGTATTCGACATATAATGGGAGTCTTTCAGTAACATATTCTCTTGGTTCCAATGGCTTTGCCAAGCGATCCTTCTCACCTTCTGGTAATCTTTCCAATTTATCATTATATTCCTGAAGTTGTTCTTCGTAAATCGAGACTTCTCGGTCTTCAAATTCGGTTTTCAACTTGGCTTCTTCTTCGGAGTCTGGGAAAATTGTATTGACCAACTTTGATCTTAGATACGCAGCACCTTCTTCTGTACTAACCAAAACTATAGCATGTGTTCTTGGTCTACTCATCCAAGCTCTATCAATTCTGAAATTCCCACCTTTTCTAGCCAAATCTCTCAAGTACAGTTGGAAAGCAGTAGCATTTATTGGACGACGCAAGTTACCAATGAATAAAGCTCTAGTGACATGAAATTCAGCTTCTTCCTTCACTTCGTAACGTACATCGCGATCTTGCTCGTCCTTTGATTCGTATTTGGGATCTGCCACGTCTGGCAAGTCAAGTCCAATGTGATCTATTTTTCTTGGACGTGCTTGTGTCTGATATTGTGGATATGGAGCAAGTTCTCTAATCTCCTCATCTCTGTCATATTCAATGTCACTCATAATGATGGAAGTGTAAGATAATCAGAACTGGTAGGTGTGTACACTAATGTATTTGTTGTTGTTCGCTGTTCCAACTTTTTTTTTTTTTATTTTTTCAGATTTTTGTCGCACAGACATTTTTTTTTTTACTTTCCCACGTCTTAAAAGCAACATGAAACACGTCTAAAAACAAAAAGCCGCTCATATAGTGTTACGTAGTTTCTATAGTGGTAGACGTATGTTTATTCACATATTTTAAAAAAATGTGATCGATTTTATATTTACAAGTATTTGTCCTATTAAAATTATGCAGACCAGATAGCTTTCACCAAATCAAATAATCCATTGGAAGATGTTTCTAACACGTAAATACCGTACATGGCCACAAAGGTACCAAAAGTCAATACCTTCGATGCAGCACCATACCAGAACCCATAGACTCGTTTTGGAATATAATCAATAATACATGATTTGATACCAGCATGACAATGGAACAATAATAATGTGGAGAAAATCGAGTCTATCATTGGATATTCAACACCAGCAGCAAATGGTGTCATAACCAACGGAAGCATGGTAATAGCAATGATTCTCTCATATGTCCAATGATAACTACCTTCGTAATAGACAGGACTTGGTGGTTTATAAGCATCATTGACTGTTCCAACAATGTAACCTGGTGGTTGTTCAATAGTCTTGAATTTCGACAAGTTTGGTATTAACCTTAATGCTCTTGTAGGTTTAATAATTGGAGTACGTAATACTGTACGTGCTGGAGAAAGTATTGAAGGTCCAAACATGGTTTGTATTCTGTGTATATGTAGCTGTGGTGATGAGATCGATTCGTAGATTTTTTTTTGGTTTTTTTTTTTTTTTTTTGGAAGTTATTTTTTTCCTTCTCAACAACCTCTCGTTGATTGATTTCATGAAACTTTGAAGATATTGCTTTCCATACTGAATACCACAGATGGACTAGGTCAAACAAAAGAGAAATGCATTGAAATTTACAAATGTTAAACTATCCTTAACGGTGAAACTATTCATTATCTATTTACATGCACTTAGTATTGAATAAATATATACCAAAAGAACCCTCTCTTTTTCTCTTATTTTCGTTCACAATTCTTGGATAGTAACCTACCAAGAAGCGACTTTGACACCTGGGATTAATCCAGCTCTAGCTCTATTTCTAAACTCAGTTCTGTTCAATTTGAAATCATGAATAACAGACTTAGAGTTTCCACTGGCAATACATCTATCTCTAACTTGAACTCGACAGGTATATTTTGGCATGGAAGCTAACTGTAATTGGGCTTCAACTCTGGCTCTTGCTGGTAACTCTTCATTTCTTGCAATATATTTCAAAGCGTTTCTAGTCACTTCATGTTCAGCAACTTGTAATCTTTTGAAGTGATCTCTAAGCACTCTAGCATTAATATGTGCATGCTTAGGTATGTCAAATTTAACTGGGAATCTAAATGGCATGATTTATAATAGGTAAGTAATCGTGCTTGTCAAAACCTTGTGGTTGTATTTTGGTTGTATTTTCACTTCACTTTTTTTTTTATTATTAGTTCTCACCAAACCTCAGTGCAAAGAGAATTTTTTTTTTTTTTCAAAAACTGGTCAAACTAATTGTTCAATCGTGCACTACCTCTCATATGAACCACTGAAGATTCATTTTGAACACAGATATTCACTTGATGATTGAGTACTTATCAAAGTGTATTTACGATGAGGTGGCATCAACATCGAGACAGCAATACTGTTTGTAGCCATTTCTTGGTGAAACTGAAATTCAATATTCGAAGAAAATACCGTTGAGATCTTCGGTTTTTTTTTTGTTTGTTTACCATCTATTTGTTTTACATTGTGCTAGAGATTATATCGATGTGTTGTCCTGACTGCAAATCATTCTTCTATTATAACAAGAAAACCAGTAAAGAAGAAGAAGAAGAAGAAGACAAAAAAAAATATAAGGCCACCTAGTTGAATTACATGATTTCCCCAGGAAGTCATCTAAAAAAAACTAAAGGGTATATAAATCCGGGATAATTTCGCCTGATTCTTTTTTTTGTTGTGGTTGTTGCTGTTCGCCGTTTGCTAATTACTGCAGTTTTTATTTTTTTACTAATTTTCTCTAGTCCTCACCCCCAACTATTACAACCATTAATAATTATCATGTTCACTGGTCTTGTTGAAACAATTGGAACTGTCTTGGATTATTCCCAACACGATAACACAGAAACAGGCGGCAATGGTGTTTCAATTACCATTGGCAATTGTTCGGAGATTTTAGAAGATGTCAAGTTAGGGGATTCCATCTCCACAAATGGGGTTTGTTTAACCGTTACTGAATTCAACCCAGGAAGAACATTATTTAAAGTTGGTGTGGCTCCCGAAACACTTCGTAAAACCAATTTGGGTGATTTGAAACATGGTGCCCCAGTCAACTTGGAAAGAGCCGTTACCAGTGAAGTGAGATTAGGTGGACATATTGTACAGGGCCACGTTGATACTATAGCTACAATTGTTGGTAAGAAACCAGATGGTAATGCCATCACTTATACTTTTGAATTGAGGGATAAAGAATTCATCAGCTACATTGTTCATAAAGGGTTCATTGCCATTGACGGTACTTCTTTGACTGTCACCAATGTTAAACCATCCAAGGGTCAATTTTCCATAATGTTGATTAGCTACAGTCAAGAAAAAGTTATATTATCCAAGAAAGAAGTCAATGACACTGTTAATATTGAAGTTGATTTGACTGGTAAATTGATCGAGAAACAAATCGAAGTCAATTTAACAGCTCAAATAGAAAACGATGAAAGTCCATTAAACAAATTGATCACTTCTCTAGTCGAAAAGAAAGTCAAAGAATTCATTAAATAAGATATTTATATAGCATCTTAAGTAGTCCACACATTCATAAATGTTCATGATTTAACAAAAATATAGGTGAATTGTAAAACATGGTCGCACATCGATTTTTTTTTTTTCTGCACCAGATTTGGAGGGCAAAATATTGTAACGACAAAGACAAAAAAAAAACCCAAAAAAAAAAGGAAAAACTCGCCAACATGAAAATCATTTAGGGTGTTTGCTTTCTTTCATTCAGAATTAGAACCAACCAACAACTATATACACTTCGATCATGGATATTATATTAGGGATTAAGGTATCTGATGCCACTATAATTGCCACATCTAAAGCAGCCACAAGAGGTATTTCAGTTTTGAAAGATACAGATGATAAAACAAGACACTTGAATGCCCACAATTTAATAGCATACACTGGTGAGGCCGGTGATACTGTGCAATTTGCCGAATATGTTCAAGCAAACATTCAATTGTACTCGATGAGAGAAAACGATATCGAATTGTCACCAAAGGCAACTGCATCTTTTGTCAGAACTCAATTGGCCACATCCCTCAGATCAAGAAAACCATATCAAGTTAATTGTTTAATTGGTGGTTATGATGTTAAAACCAACAAACCTTCATTAAATTGGATAGATTACTTAGGTACCCAGGTTGAACTTCCTTATGGTGCCCACGGTTATGCTGCATTTTATACCACATCTTTGTTGGACAAACATTATCGAAAAGAAATGACCGTTGAAGAAGGATTGAAGTTGATGGACATGTGTGTTGAAGAATTGCAAAGAAGAATGCCAATTGATTTCAAAGGGGTATATATCAAAGTTGTTGACAAAGATGGTATAAGACAACTTGAATAGACACACACACACACAGAGAAAACTAGGTTAAAAGAGAAAAATAAACGAAAAATTCTATAACTTTTTTGTACTATTATACAGATGAACTCTAAACTCTACAGTTTGAAATTTCAAGTACCAAGATATCAGTGGCACCAGCTTGTTTCAATTCATCCATGACATTACCAATTTCTTTTCTTGTAACCATTGAAGAAATGGCAACCCAGTCTTCTTCATCTTCACTGTGTTTGTCTAAAGTAGAGACAGTGGCAGCTCTTCTACCAGGAGTTATAGACAAACATTTGGCTTGAATGGCCTTTGGAGCGTTGTAATTACACAAGACGTATTCTTGGGCAGCAAGAACACCTTGAAGTCTTTGAACAATAATCTTGACCATATCTGGGTATTTGGTTTTCTTGGAAGAAACCAAGTGAGCAGAAGTTTCTAAAACAGTAGCAATGGCTTTCAAACCAGCTGCCTTCATGGTTTCTCCACTTTCGACTAAATCAACAATAGCGTCAGCAACACCCAAAGCACAAGAAGCTTCAACGGAACCACCAACATATCTGATGCTAGTTGGTTTGTCTGATAATTGACCAAAGTAATCACTACTCAATTTGGTGAAGGATGAGACAATCTTTTTACCGACTAATTGCTCTGGAGTATTGTATTGACCATTAGCTGGAACTTGGACTTGTAATTTACAGGAACCAAATTTCAAATCTAACAAATCTTCAATGTTATCAAATTGATCAGCTTCCATAATTTGGTCTAAACCAGTTATACCCAAATCACAATTACCCTCACCAACGAAAACTGGAATATCGGCAGCTGGCAAGAAGATTAAAGCAATAGGTAAGTTGGTGGAAAGAGCGATATCTAATCTGTTGGATCTTCTGAATTGAATATCTGCTCCCTTCAATAAGTTGCAACATTTTTCATATAATCTACCTTTCTTAGGAACGGCAAATAATAAACGGTCTGGTAAGTGGTTGACTAAATCCATGATTTTATATAACTCTAAACTATGATTGTATTCTATTCTTATGAAAGAAGTGGTCTACAATAAAGAAAAATTTTCAGCTTTTTTTTTTTCTTTTTTTCTTTCCGTCTTGACAAGCAGGGGACCCACGCCGTCTTAACAGTATGACTCAACGCGCGCCTAAATCAAATAGGTGATGAAAAAAAAAAAAAAACTAATAATAATACTAATGCTGCAACTATTCAAATCACAACTGATGATAATCATTCCAATGGTTATGCTCTACCTATAGGCAATTCCTCCACCAATATTTGACTGTTTACAACCTTCATTTTCTCATAAACTTGTCCTACCCAATCATATCTATTAAATGAAACTGTTCTTTTTGCTATACATGAATAACAAATGTCTCTGGTATCAACTATTTCTTTGACATATCCCCTTCTTCTTCAGATGTATTGATCGTGTCTTCCGTACCTAAATTGTTACTACTAACTTCTGAATCATCATCTTCATCCATTTCGTCCATGTACCTATCAAACCCAGTTGATCTTTTTTCGGTGGATCTTCCGATAAGCTCCATATCCAATTGTTCGTTTACAACCAACTTGTTGCTGATGCCATACCCATTTGGATTACCATACATATACTTGTTAAAACTCCAATTTATTAAAATCTTAAACATGTCCCACGGACTGAAAGCAGGCCACAACTTATCAACAAATACTACAGCACAGTCTGGTGATACTGTCTGCCATAAAAGAAAATCTGAAAGTCTATATGTACCTGAGGTTCTAACTAACAAATCCAACGGAGGTACTTCTCTGGTGTATAAATGTTCATCAATGGTGGATTCGTCTATTTCAATATTACCTTCCTTAGATCTATCCACAACCTCTTGGATCAGATGTGTCATTTCATCTCTTGAGGTATATGGAAAACAAACATTCAACACTGCACGAGTGTTGTCCTTGGTTATCTCTTCTGTTTGTTCAAGAATTTCCAACACGTCTTTTGGTAATAGTTTCTTGTTTCCCAAAATTCTAATCTTTACTCCGTATTCTTTACATAATAGACCGTGCTGATTTATCTGTGTAAACTTGGACTTTGCTAAATCCATTAGCCACTTCACTTCGTACAGCAGTCTTTTGAAATTCTCAATTGAAAATGCATAAACGGTGGCTGATTTGACCCCCAGTTCATATAATAATTCTAGTATACTGGCCATGGTATCAAAACCCAAACTATGACCCTCTTTAATTTCAATTTTATGAGTTTTTGCATATCTTCGGTTACCATCCATAATTATTCCAACGTGTTGTGGAACAGGACCGGTCAGTACTATTCTTCCCAACATAGTTTTACCAGTAATCAAGACTTGTTTAAACCCAGGGAAGGTTGATATCCATTCTGACATGACTATGAGGACTATTTCTTTTCTTTTAACAAAAAACTTTATTTATCTAAAATGTTGAAATAAGGACTTGGTAGATGTCTCTATCCGAGGTTAGTATTGGAGCTTCCAGAAAAAAAAAAATTGTAAGAAACAAAATCTGTAAAACCAAAGATAAAAATTTTCGTCCAGGCTGTTCGTTTGCGTACTCAACTTTAATACCACAAAATAAGGAGCAAAAAAATAGAAATGTATATAAAAAAGAGAAGTGCCGTTACTTTTTAATGCAAAATTGCAAAAATCGAACAAAAAAAAGTGCTGACCTTGGGGAAATGTACTTATAAATCATCATGCAATAGATATACAATGTAGTGAATTGCTGGTTCATTAGAAAAGATTGTATTTATGCTGCAATTCAGATGGTAGATTCATTAAAAGTAAAGCGACTCTTGGTAGATAGGGTAACTAGTGTTAGGTTAAACTATAATTTGCTTAGTAATAGATACCCCTACCAGCGATACTAGAGACATCCTTTAATTACTAACATCCTTCCATGAATTTCTAGTAATTTTTATTGCTGTCACGTGAACGATTCTCGCACTACCCTTTGAAATGGCAAAAAAAAAAAACAAAAGAAAAATTTAAAATCTCATCTTGATTTTTTATTTTTTTTTTTTTCACAAGTCTCATCACTACCTTTACTCAATTACTAATCTAATCAACGATGTCCGCCGAAGAAGTGAATAACAACGTTGCAAATTTGAATAACGAAATTGAAGAAGAAGAAGAATACATAGATGTTAATGAAGTTGCTGAAGAAGTCGTCGATGATGATCAACAGCAAGTTCCACCTGAAGATGATGACGAAGATGAAGAGATGGATATAGACGAAGAACAAGAAACTATAGAGATTGACATGTCAAATAACTCATGGACTTATTTTGATCAACATAAAGATAGTATATTCACTGTTTTTGCCCATCCAAAATTGCCAATGGTTGTAACTGGTGGTGGTGATAACACAGCTTATTTATGGACTACACATACACAACCACCAAGATTTGTTGGTGAACTTCAGGGACATAAAGAATCTGTTATTTCAGGTGGTTTCACAGCAGACGGAAAATTTGTGGTAACTGCAGATATGAATGGATTTATTCAAGTGTTCAAAGCAACCAAAGGTGGTGAAAAATGGGCTAAATTTTCTGAATTGGATGAGGTTGACGAAGTCTTGTTTGTCACAGTACACCCATCATTGCCATATTTTGCATTTGGTGCAACCGATGGATCCATTTGGGTATATCAAATAGATGAATCTAACAAACTGTTGGTACAAATCATGTCAGGTTTTTCCCATACTTTAGAATGTAATGGTTCAGTGTTCATACCAGGTAAAGATGAGAATGATTTGACCTTGGTTTCTATAAGTGAAGATGGTACCATTGTAAATTGGAACTGTTTCACTGGTCAAGTCAACTATAAATTGCAACCACATGATGATTTCAAAGGTGTTGAAAGTCCGTGGGTCACCATCAAAGCACATGGACACCTTCTTGCTGTTGGTGGTAGAGATGGTCAATTGGCCATTATAAATAATGACACTGGTAAAATTGTCCACTCCCTCAAGACTTTGGATAACGTTGATGATATCGCTGAATTATCCATCGAGGCTTTGAGTTGGTGTGAAAACAAAAACATTAATCTATTGGCCGTTGGTTTGGTTTCTGGTGATATCTTACTTTTTGACACCCAACAATGGAGATTAAGAAAGAATTTGAAAGTTGATGATGCCATTACCAAGTTACAGTTTATAGGTGAAACACCAATTTTGGTTGGAAGTAGTATGGATGGTAAAATCTACAAATGGGATGCCAGAACTGGTGAACAACTTTTCGCAGGTGTTGGTCACAACATGGGTGTGTTGGACTTTGCAGTAGTTGAAAATGGTAAAAAATTAGTTACTGCTGGGGATGAAGGTGTTTCATTGGTATTTTTGCATGAATAAGTGTATAAATATAGTGTATAATCGTGCACGACCCAAGATCGTGACGCGTCTAATGGAATTTTTTTTTTTTCTTTTCTTTTTTCGTTTACTTTTTTTTTGATACTTTTTTTTAATGTATTCAACATAAACACTATTGATAGTCATCTACAAATCAAAACCAATTAATGAGTCCAATAGTTCAAGAAAATGTGTCTATGACACCCTTTGAAGGGAATGTTTCTACAACTCCATCTGAATCAGATATGAAGTTTTATTATGAAAGATTATTACCATTTCGCTATGTTTTCCAATGGTTAAGTCATTCCCCAAAACCAACTAAGGATTTCACCATGAGAGAGTTTGCCTATGAATACAGAAATAAAATATACCAGCGTTATAATTCATTTGGAACATTAGAAGAGTTTAAAAAGTCTGTGGTCACTGCCAATCCAACACGTTTTGAAGTTGGTGCTGTTTACAAGATCAACCCAAAAGAACGTAAGAATTTGCCTAAAACAGCTTTCAAACCAGAAAGTAAGGAATTGGTTTTCGATATTGATTTAACAGATTATGATGATATTAGAACTTGCTGTCAGGGTACTGATATTTGTTGCAAGTGTTGGAAGTTTATTCAAGTAGGATCTAAAATCATTGAAACTGCTTTGAGAGAAGACTTTGGGTTTGAACATATGGTGTGGGTGTTTTCCGGTAGAAGAGGGGCACACTGTTGGATCAGTGATAAAAGAGCCAGAGAATTGGACGAATCCAGCAGAAGAGCAATAGTTGAATATTTGGATGTGTTAGGTGCAAAGACTCAACAAGGAACACTAAACCTCAGAAAACCATTGCACCCTCATGTGGAAAGAGCATTTGAAATTGTTAAGAAGGAGTTTGCAACGGTGATTTTGCAAGAGCAGGATCCATGGGGCACACAGCCTGGTCAAGAAGCAGAGAGTAAAGCATGGAAGCAAACCGAAGAATTGTTGAAATTTATTCCTAGCAAGCCTTTGCAAATCGAGTTGAGAAACAAATGGAAGGCTAGCAAAAGTTACTCTTCATCACAAGATAAATGGGATGATATAAATAAAGTTGCGTCACAAGTACTTAAATCAAACGCACAGGTCAGTACCCTTAATGACTCCAAGAAAGATATAATTATTTATTACATGTATCCTAGATTGGATGTACAAGTCTCGAAACAAGTCATCCATTTGTTGAAATCTCCATTTTGTATTCATCCTGGAACTGGTAACGTTTGTGTGCCTTTTGATCCTTCTAGTAATATTTCGGGCAACCCTGCTGATGATGATTATGGATTTAATCCAATGACAGCACCTAATTTGCGTCTTCTACAAACAGAATTGGAAACTTGGGAAGACAATCACAAGGATAATGTCGAACCAAACAATTCCACTACTAGATTACCTGATTATGATAGAACAAGTTTGAAGCCATATATAGACTATTTTGCCAAGTTTGTTAATAATTTATTGAAAGATGAATTGAAAGGAAGTGAGAAGAGAGCAAGAGAAGAAGATCCATTGAGTTTTTAAGTGTATTTGTATAGTTCTTCTAAATCTATGTAACGGGACATCCCAAATCACTAGAGAATGACCTTTTTTCACCAAAATCGTTTGTATCTTCTAAAGAGCCACTATGGTTCTTTAATATGAGTGTCTCTGTAACTACGCCACCCGGATTGCTCGATCTCGAGTTTTCAACAATAATAGAAGGGTCCTTCCAGTGGTACCATTCTAAAAATTGCAATTCAGCATTATATTTGACATAACCAGAAGACAAGTAAATATCACCATAATTCAAAAACGGGAAATGCCATCTAGGAACAAAAATCACTGTAGGTGTGGTTTCAAGTAAAGGATCAGAACGATCAATGGCAACTTGTACAGAATACTTGACTAGTTTTAGGTCAAATTCAACAGCAACGATAATACCTTTAGTTGCCATAAGATATGGTCGGATAACTGCACTCACAGCTCTAACACCATCTGGAGAAGGATAACATTTTCTGTACTGACGATGATAAATATTCAGACTGTCAGACGTTATCACAGAACATTGAGAAGAAGTATCATCTGATTCATAGCTATCAGAATAGTCTCTTTCTGAATCAAACGATGATTCAGAAGCACTAGTAATTGTACTACTTCGAGATATTGATGATTCCATACGAGTGGGTGTCGAAGAAGTACGTTTTAATGCTGTAGCTGTACGTTTGCGCTTCGAATGGTGGTGTCTTCTTCTTCTTGATCTGCGACTCGGAGCTTCATTTTCAATTTCATCATCTGGCATGCGGTCCTCTGGCGACCAAAATGAAAAGTCCTCGTTATTCCAGTTATCTCCCCATTTATGGTTATTGCCACTATTGTAACACCAGTATGTGTGGGACATATTTGCTCCTTCAAGGGCATAGGATATGGCATCCATGGCTGCTGTTTGTGAAATAAACTTACTATTCCTGTAAGCACGTTTGTCATCCATGTCAAATGGCATACCGGTTTCGGACATGACAATTGGAAGCCCACCCAAATAAGTATTACACTCCTGTCTCATTTCAATGAATTGCTTCCTGAAACAATTTCTAATTGCTCGTTCACCAAATACAATCCCCAACACAGGATTCAAATACCGGTTCCTCATGATACCAAGTGTGTCAACATTGTATTTCACGTTCCAACTTTTAAACATCAACGACAAACCATCGTAGTAATGAGGGCAGTAAACTGTTTTGTTGTCGATGATTTTTCTAGGATCATTCTTGAGATTGGGAGGAACCTCCAACACAGGAGTCAGCATTAACACGAATGCGTTGGGGTTTCTTTTTCTAATTGTTTCCTTGAATCTAATGTAGTGGTCGACAAACATATTGTTGGTGAAAAATTCAACATCGACCTTCTCCGGTACCGTACCATCTGCATGTACCAAATTGTGTTTTTCATGGACGTTGGTGAAGAAGTATGGTTCGAGCATTTCACATTTACCGCTTACTTCAAGTCGCTGTTCTTGTGTCATATCTCTTAATTTATTGAAATCAAAATCCTTTGGCCATTTCCAGATTCCTTCGTGCGCAAAAATACACACTCCAATCGGCCAGTCTATGTCTCTTTTGAATCCATAGTGATCATCTATTATCTTGGCATCTTCTCGAGAGAGCCAAGCTCTAGTACCCTTAGGATCCACGATTTTACTTCCATACTTCCGTGGACCAGTTATGGCTATTTTATATTCATCAACTTCGCATGTAAATCCCATACCTAATTTCATTGCTTGAAACGCTGTTGGTGAAGTGCCGACACGTAACTGCTGTGAATCAGGGATAATTTTCAAGTTAGGATGACCAACCAATCCACCACTGGGTTCATTCATTGATTCAAATCCCAAAATAGTTCCGTTTTCAACCAACTCGGGTAAATTGCGAATGACATTCTTCCAAAGGTAATCCACTGCTCCAAGGTAATGATCTTGCAAATAATCCTGGATATTCTTCCCATTTAACTTTAAAGTGGGGAAATAGTTTCTGCCGGCGAAAAACAAAGTAAACATGACAAATGCAGCCAAACGTTTATAATTTGACGTCCAAAGCATTTTACGATATTTCGTGCTTGAATCATGGAACCGTGGTTCGTTGTGAAGTACTGCTGCTTCAGTTATGGTAAACTTCTTGGGGTCCAAGCCAGCAGCATAGAATGTCCACATGGGAGCACCGCTTCCTCCTGAAAATCGACTCCATACATCTTGATGGAATTCCATAAATACATAAAGTCCTCCAATATTACCAATAATCTTCAACACCTGCAATGTGTATTCAACAAACTCTTTGTCATACTTACCAGGCCCAGCATGTTCCATGGCTTCCCATGTAATAAGATATCTAATGGTCGTATAACCCCAGTCTTTGATTCGTTGCAAATGCATGTGAGCTTCTTGTAATGGGAAAGGTCTCCCCACAAAGGACACATTGTCCCCATCAAAGAAAAAACTATTCGGATCGGTACTGTCGCCTTCGTATGATGGAACATATGGTGTAACTGGAAGTTTCATTTGTGAATCAACATTAATACCCTTGAGCACAACTTTTCTACCTGTCTTGGGATCAAAGAAGTCCCCCTTCATATCTGCCTCTAATGGTGTGCATTGAAGTATACTTGTGTTCTGTCCTGTGGCCTGCGGTATGACCAGAGAAGGTGGGTATTTTCTTCTCAACAGTTTAGCATTAGTACTTGGGATATATGATGTATTCTGATATAAGCTTAACCTATCCTGAATAGCTGCACTTGCATACCTTGCTGATTGCATAGTTTTAATACAAGTGATGAAAATGATGGGCCTAAAAAAAGAAACAAAGGGTAAGAACAAAAAAAAATTGCACTAAACGAAATATTCACCCCCTCAAATGATAAAAAAAAAAACTGGAGGAAAGTATCAACACAAATTACTGTGATTAACCAACACACTGTAGGAATAAAACAAAAAATAGATTAATCCAGAAAGTACTCAAGAGAAAGTTCAACAAAGAAATGTAAATGTTTTTCAAGTGTGGAGCTATTAATGGGACAATCTTGGTTTGAATTTTTACCTGTTGTTCACACACGCATCTAAGAAAGAACAAAAAAAAGATCACAAACTTGCTAAATTGGGCAACTAAAGTTGCTACCAAGTGTGTGTCCGCGAATGCCGAGGTTTATAAATTCATTACAAAGCGTATACACATTATCTTTTGGGCTTACGTTGCTTAGTAAGTCTCCAAGAATCCCTATTATGGCTATTGAATAATGGTTCTATTTTCTGTTTCTTCTTTGCTTCTCTAATAGTATTGGCATCCGCTTGCTTGTAGTATTTTGGCGCTAATTCATACAACCATTGGGGATCAATCACACTCACACAGTGCATATACTCTTTAGAAGTGAGAATTAATGTGTGATAGATAGCGTACTCGGGGTTTTTACCATATAGCGACGATGATGGGTGCAAATACACCAGAGTTCCTTCATTCAACGTCTTGTAACCCTCGCCTTCTTGTCTCTTGGCAGAATTCTTGAAATAACCCGAACACAACGTCCTTCTGATTTTCTCAATATTATTTCCACATGAAAGGATAGGATACTTAAATCTAGTCATTATCTGCTTCAATTGGTTTCTAACATCCATCGCTCTGCGCATACTTCTCTCCTGAATAAAATTCTCCTGACACCAAGACTTGCTGTAATTATTGCGATACCACAGTTGGAACACATTCAACAAAGTCAAATGATCTCCATAGGGGTGATGAAATCGTGCCTTTCTTTGATCTGCTAATGCAGATTGTGCTTTGGGACGATAGAATATCGTCTGCACCGAAAGCATAGCAACGATGGTAAGAATTTCCTCTGAACAGCCATACTCGGCTGATTTGATCAACGTTTTAGCCAATGCTGGCTCCATGGGTAATTCGGCCATTCTTCTACCTAATCCAGTGAGGTGTCCTTCATCGTCCAACGCATCAAGAATATACAAGTCTTCCAATGCAGTTAATAATGTACTTGTAGATGGAGGATCCATAAACTCAAAGTTGATCAAATCTTCAATTCCCATGGCTTTAAGCATCAAAATGGTATGCGACAAGTTCTGTCTTTGGATCTCAGGAATCGTATTGGCGATCATTTCTTTTTGGTATGCTTGTTCAGTGTATAATCTATAACATTTTCCAGGTCCAGTTCTACCAGCTCTACCACTTCTTTGATTCGCTTGTGCTTTGCTAATTGGGCGAACTTTCAAGGAATCCATTCCTAGTTTTGGATCATACAGATTTATCTTTACAAACCCAGGATCAACAACATAATATATACCATCAATGGTGATGGAGGTTTCAGCAATGTTTGTAGCTAAAATAACTTTTCGTGACCCTGGTGGTGTAGGCTCAAAAATTCTTGTCTGCATTTCCGAAGGTAATGCCGAATAGACAGGAAGCACAATCAACTCGGGTACGCTGTCACCCAAGATTTTCATCCTCTCATTTAATGCCTCACAACTGGTATCGATCTCCTCTTGCCCCGTAAGAAACACTAAAATGTCACCTGCTGGTTCAGAAATATGTATTTGCATGACAGAATCAAGCGCAGCAGCAAGATAATCCATTTCTGGCTCTTTTGTGTACAACACTTCAACTGGGAATGTTCTTCCGGGTATATTTATAACTGGACAATTGTTGAAGTATTTAGAAAATTTATTGGAATCTAATGTAGCTGATGTTACAACAACTTTTAAATTGGGGTTCTGTTTTGCAGCATCTTTAAGCAACGCAAACAAAACATCAGTGGCAATGGTTCTTTCGTGCGCTTCATCCAACATAATTAGTGAATATTTACTCATGGATGGATCGTTTAACGCTTCCCTTTCCAACATACCATCTGTCATATACTTGATGACTGTATCAGGTCCAGTTTGGTCATCAAATCTAACGGTATACCCAACTTTGTCTCCGACTTTGCAACCAACTTCTTCGGCAACTCTTTTGGCAACAGATGTCGCCGCAACACGTCTCGGTTGAGTACACCCAATAACTTTTGTCTTTCCGTCGATGACATTCATGTGCTCCTCGTATATATACTGCACGATTTGGGTTGTCTTACCGGAACCAGTTTCCCCAACAATAACCACAAATTGATTATCTCGAATACTTTCAACTAATGTAGACCTCATGGCATATACTGGAAGGGATCTTCTTTGCTCTTCAATTGGAAGGGATGTACGTTTACCAAAGGATTCATTCTTATGGGATTGTTTCCATTTGGAAATGAACGATTCAGTAGCAGGGTCTAAATCAACATCTTTTACTGATTCTGTGGCTTGGAAAAGTGGATCTGTAGTATCAGTTTTTGACTTTTCTTCCTTTTCCTTTAGCTTCTTTTGTCGAAGTTTCTCTTCTCTGAACTCTTTAGCGAATTTTGATCCCTTTTCAGCGGCTGTGTTTAATGATCCTGTCTGTGGAGGAGTAGGGTCCACCGTCATAAGCGGCTTTGATCTTGCCATGCCTTTTAAAAACTCTGGTTTAGACTCGTTCATTTCGATATGTATCTCCACCTCAGGTTCTAACGTAGACTGTGCATGGGATTCATCTTGACCTTCATCGTCCAAATCCGGATAATCATCAGCAGAAATTGCTCCTGATTTAATAAGCTGACGAATCTCCCATCTTTCGGGAGATGTTAATTTTCGCTTCAATCGTGTTTGTCTTTCTTGTGGTCGGCCTCTCGGTTCAGTAATTTTGACCTCCCCAGTTACTTGATCGATTCCTCTCATTGATAATGATATTTTCTTTCTACTGCCTTGGTTCTGGATATCAGTAATCTTCACATACACGGCTTGTCTTGGTTTTAGGTAATCCGATACTGATGCTATTTTAGATCCATCAAATGATATCTGTGATATATGACATAGGCCGGATGTATTGCCAAGTTTAATAAACGCCCCGTATGCCTGTATTCCTTCAACTATTCCTGGTAGTACATCACCTACTTGGGGTGGTTTCTCTGGAGAAAGAATAATTGTTTTCTTGTTGGTTGTTTCGTTAACTTTAGGACCAAGTGGCCTTTTCTTTGATATCTTATCAAAGGCTTCTTTTAGGAATACATCTGGGAACTCATCTCCCCCATTTTCATCAACTAGTTTTCGGAAATCGTCCCATGATTGATTGGTAGATTTTCCGTATAGATTTGTTAGAAACTGTGCAATTAAAGTTAAATTCTCATCATTATCTGGTAACCCTAAGTGTTTCTGTACTATTGAAAGTAGTTGTTTATCAGGTTGTGTATTCATTGGTGATGAGCTAGGTAGATGATGGGCTGGGTAGATGATAGGCTTGGTAGATCAAGTCTCGATTTTTTTTCTGTCTTCTCTCTCTTTCCGCCGCTTGTCTTTTCTAGGTTGATTATGTACTTGCAACAATTAATGGAATTTCACAATCTAAAGGAGGTGATAATCGGAAATGACAAAGAAAAATATAGATTATGGTTATTCATTAATTGGTTTCAGTTTTGTTGATTAACCAGCATGTGGTTAAAAAAAGTGTTGGCGACAATAAGACATATCGACTCAAATCAACATACCTATGTAGACCAAAATACTTGTGACGATTACCTCTACTACACTAATAATACTACCACTACTACTACCAGATATAAACTCTTCTATTGTCAACTATTGTAGTGGGCGTAGATATCTGGTATTTATTGCACGACTGGCAAGATTCGTTCACTCACCAACATCAAACATTTACAATTTTATTTTTTCTTATAGGAATTTTTTTTTTTTCTTTGTTCAATCTTCGCCACCACTACTTTCTTTCATTCAACCCACCCACCAAGATGTCTAGAGAAGACCCAATTAAAGCAGAAAAGGATTTTTCAGCTACCTTAGATGAGCAATTTCCAATAATTGAAAAAATATCCGATTACAAGCAAGCTTTGGATAAGTATCTTGTTTTGGAAAAACAAACTCGTCAATCCTCCGATTTGGCTTCCTCCAAGAGAGTTCTTAACAAGATAGTAAGCACTTTGGTTAATAACAATGATTGGGAATACTTGAATGACTTGATCACCATCTTGTCTAAGAAACATGGACAATTAAAGTCCTCTATCCAGGCATTCATTAAGGATGTAATTGATAATTTGGATAAATTGAATGAAGACAACAAACAAGAATTAGAACTCAAAATGAAATTGATTGAAACCATTAGAACTGTTACTGACAAAAAGATCTTTGTTGAAGTGGAAAGGGCTATCGTTTCAAGACAATTGGCTGAAATCTATTTGAACAAGTTGAATGATTTGGATAAAGCCGTCGAAATATTGTGCGATTTGCAAGTCGAAACTTATTCGTTAATGGCCTTCAGTGACAAAGTTGAATACATTTTGGAGCAAATTCAATTGACTTTAAAGAAAGGTGATTATTCCCAAGCAAAGATTTTGAGTAGAAAGATTTTGTTGAAAGCTTTAAAGAACTTTGAAAAAGCTGACGAGTTTAAAGCCACTTACTTGAAATATTTGATTGACATTAATGTGTTTGACTATGATTACATTTCCATTGTTAAAAATTTGTTGTTGTTGATTGAAATCCCAGCCGTTAAAAGTTCAAACACTATTGCAGAAGATTACAAGAGAATCATTTTCTACATCATATTATCCAAATTCGACCCTCACCAACAAGATTTGATTAACAAGATTAAGGCTAATCCTGTTTTTGGCAAGAATGTCGATGCCAAGATCTTTAAGCTTTTGGATATTTTCACTACAAATGAATTGATCCATTGGTCTAACATTGAATCCTTATACAAGAGTGCATTCTCATCCTCCGAGATTTTTGCTGACGAAACTAATTATAAGAACTTGCAAAAAAGAATCATTGAACATAATCTCCGTATAATTAATAAGTACTACCAGTTCATCAAATTGGATAGATTAGCTTATTTATTACAATTATCAGTAGAGGAATCCGAACAATATGTGAGTGATTTGGTTAATGAAGGTATGATTGTGGCCAAGATCAATCGTCCACAAGGTACAGTCAAGTTTGACAAGGCCAAACATACCGAAGGAAGTGATCCAAGAACTAGTGATAACCATATTAATGCATTGTTAAACGACTGGTGTTACGATATTGACAAGCTTTTGGAAGAAGTGGATTCCATTGGTCATTTGATAAATAAGGAAGAAATGATGTATGGTATAAAACAAAAGAGTTAGTAGAATAAAAATACACACGCTAAACAAAAAGAACTAAATAAAAAAAAAACATAAACATAGGATATACAAAACTTGTAGATTTTTCTAAATCAAGGCAAAACCAGCAGCTAAAGCAAACATACTCAACAAACCACTTGAAGCAACCATGACACCATCGTTTTTGGTTGAACTAGAGCTGGTATCATTTGAAGAAGAGGAGGAAGTAGTAGTAGAAGTAGAATCAGCTTGACGTGAACTAGTTTGGTCTGGAGAAGTATGGGTAGAACCAGCAAGAGTAGAGGTGTAGTTACCAGTGTCATCAACATCATTATCAGCGGCATGACAGTTATCTTGGACATAAGCATCAAAACCGTGGCCAGTTGGTTCAACTAAACCTTTCAAGTACTTCAAAGCACCTTTTGGTGTATCTGGGATATCTTCAGTAACATTCCAGTCACTGGATAATGATGGACAGTTGTTGGCACCACTTTCATCCAAATAGTCACCGTCGCCAGAAGGATTGGAGACCTTACTGAATTGTTCCTTTAAGTTGTCAAAATCGTCATTGGTGGTGACTTTATCGCCATCCAATTCAACCAAACCGTAGTTGGAAGCTTCTTCGGAATATTCATAAACTAAACCACCAGAGAAAACAGAAGACATGTCGGTAGAGTAAATGGCTTCAATTTCTGTGAATGGTCTTGGGTGGACAGAGTTACAACCAAACTCGGAGAAGAACAATGGGACAGTATAGTTGGCAAAGTCCTTCATTTGTTGAGAATATTGAGAAGTGGTCATACTGGCGTCACCACACCAAGAATAGTCATTGATACCATACATATCAATTCTGGCCATTTCATCGTCACCACAGTTAAAGTAAAGACCGGTTGGTAATCTTAACTCGTTAACACTTGCAGCTGAGTAACCAACTGGGATGGTTCTGAAATTTCTATTCTTGATAAAAGTCTTCATATCTCTAACAACGGCTTTGACATATGGAGCAGCTTCTAAAGAAGGACCGTCGTTGATAACTTCATTACCAGCAAAGAACCCCAATGTGTTGTCGAATTGAGCAAATTCGGAAACAGTAGCGAAAACTTCTTGCAAGTAGTCGGTGTTGTAAGAACAGTCGGCGTTACTTCTGGTGATGGAAGAATGTGGAGTGTTTACATCCAAGATGACATAAATACCAGCTTTGGCCAAAGTATCCATACATTCCGTATGGTTTTTGGTGTTATCAATGGAGTAAACTCTAACAGTGTTAATACCTAACTCGGTAAAGTATTTAACATCTCTTTCACAGACATCAGTATCAGCCAAAGGGTCTTCTAACTCAGAGGAACCACCTGGTTGGTAGTCGACCCCTCTGATGTAGAATCTGTCACCAGATTCACTGTCCCAGAAGGCATTACCTTTGACTTCAATGGTAGCGATGGACAAAACGGAAGTAACCAACGACAAATAAGTAGCTAACGATTTGAATAACATTTTGGGGAATACTAATAACGAATGAATAAAATGTTTAGGTTGTAGAGATGAAGAAAGAAAGAAAAAAAAAAAACAAAAAGGGGAAACGAAAGAATATTTTATGTTGTTGATTTTTTCTTTTTTTTTTTCTTGGGTGATTGTGTGATGAAACGAGTTTCGTAAACATTATTTCTTTGAAAAAGAAAGCTTCTTCTTCTCTAAAAAGGATATCACTCTACAATATGGTGTTGCAGTAGGGATGATACCGATAGAAGCTTACTATTTTGTTATTCTGCTGAATTGTGGAGGTGGCAACTACTATCGTATCACATTGTTAATATTCGAAGAGAACAAGGCGAGTGGTGGAAGATGAAACCATAACAACCCGTGAAAAAAAAAACACGGAATTTCAACACAAAATTAAAGATTGTTTTTTTTTCGCGTTATGATGATTTTGTGTTATGTGCACGTGACTTGAGTAGGAATGAAGTTAATACAGTTTATGATGGTGGTGTAAAGAACAGGAGTCAATTCTAAGGCTAAAGAGTGTGTATTGGTGAAGTAGTTTGTAGTTTTGAAAATAGTTTATGTTTTAATAAAATTTTGTATAAAAATCCCAGTAAAATTTTTCATCCTCGGTTGGAGTGTTGTACACTCATGGTAGGAAATCTACCAGTAACTTACGATTAAGACTATCGACTAAACATGCTTATATTTACACCTGGTACTCCCATACCGACTATCTCGTTACTAGTAGAGCAATTTGGTAACATCATTTTGGTAGCAATTCCCTTTAATCCATTTAACACGTAACATGGACCGCACTCGAAAAAGAAAAAAAAAAAGAGGAAAAATTCTCAAATCAACAACAAACGACGGACAGCAAAAAAAAAAAAAAAATCTTACACCAATTGAAGAGTGAAAACTATCAATTACCAATTCTCACATACTAGTTCCGACAACATGGCATCGCAGATTCATTTCTTGGATATCAAGGGGAAACCATTATTGTCAAGAGACTACAAGGGAGATATCCCTGCAAACACCATTGAAAAGTTTCCTCTTTTGCTTTTGGAATTGGAAAACACAGCCGATGAAGGCGAATACAAACCATTTATTAATCACCAAGGGATAAACTATATATTCATCAACCATAACAATTTATACATATGTGCGTTGACTCGAAAGAATGAGAATATAATGACAATTATTATTTTCTTGTCAAAGTTAGTTGAAGTGATGACCCAATATTTCAAATCGTTAGAAGAAGAAAGTATCAAGGATAATTTTGTTATTATATATGAATTGTTGGATGAAATGATGGACTTTGGTGTACCACAGACTACAGATACAAAGATATTGAAAGAATACATTACTCAAGATTACTACTCGTTGATCAAAAGTACTCCAACCCATTTGGTTGCCCCACCAAATGCCGTTACCAATGCTGTTAGTTGGAGAAAGGACGGAATACATTACAAAAAGAACGAAGCATTCTTGGATGTGGTTGAATCTATTAACATGTTGATTTCTCCTAGAGGAGATGTCATTTCCAGCGAGATCCTAGGGGAAATCAAAATCAAGAGTCATTTGTCCGGTATGCCAGATTTAAGACTTGGATTGAATGATAAAGGTATATTTACTGGCAACTCCGATGCTGCCACAGATAATAACAAAAATATTGAAATGGAAGATATAAAGTTCCACCAATGTGTTCGATTATCCAAATTTGAGAATGAAAAATTAATCACATTTATTCCGCCAGATGGAGAGTTCACATTGATGTCGTATAGATTATCATCGGCCCAATTCCTTATGAAACCATTGATGTTGGTAAATTGTAAGACAAAAGTACACAAGCACTCAAGAATTGAAATTTTATGTACCATCAAGGCACAAATCAAAAAGAAATCGACTGCCAATAATGTTGAAGTTATCATTCCAATTCCGGAGGATGCTGATACTCCTAAATTCCAACCTGAATACGGTTCTGTCAAATGGATTCCAGAAAAGTCCTGTCTTGTTTGGAAATTGAAGACTTTCCCTGGTGGTAAGCAATTTGCCATGAGAGCTGAGTTAGGTTTGCCAGCTGTTAATGACCCAGAATCTATAATAAGCAAAAAACCAATCAAGGTTAATTTCTCAATACCTTACTTTACAACCAGTGGAATTCAAGTCAGATATTTGAGAATCAACGAACCTAAATTACAATACCAATCATACCCTTGGGTTAGATACATTACCCAATCAGGAGAAGACTATATAGTTAGAATGAGATAGTAAACTACAATTTTTTTTTTTCTATTTTGTTAACCGAATCCGTTCTTGGATATATACATGTATTAAAATAATGCCTAAAAAAAAATGTAAATAATAGTAATAATAAAGATAACTGTAATCATGAATTGAATTTTAGTCCTTCACATTGACCAAATTAATGATTTAAGTAAAACTGGGGTTAAGTTTATTTTTTGTCAACGAAATGTAAATCAGTGACACAACCTTTAGAGGCATCACTGACCAAAGTGGCGTACTTGGCTAAAGTACCTCTCTTGTATCTTGGTTCTGGTGGAGTCCACTTCTTTCTTCTTTCAGCCATGATTTCTTCATCAACCAACAAATCAATCTTGTTGTTTTCAGCATCAATAACAATGACATCACCATCTTCAACCAAAGCAATTGGACCACCTTCAGCGGCTTCTGGAACAATATGACCAATCAAGAAACCATGAGAACCACCAGAGAATCTACCATCAGTCAACAAGGCAACATCTTTACCCAAACCGTAACCCATTAAAGCAGAGGATGGTTTCAACATTTCTGGCATACCTGGACCACCTTTTGGACCTTCGTATCTAATAACACAAACAGTTTTTTCACCCTTTTTGATTTCACCATTTTCCAAAGCAGTGATGAAGGAATGTTCTTCATCGAAAACTCTAGCTTTACCCTTGAAGTAAGTACCTTCTTTACCAGTGATTTTACCAACAGCAGAACCTGGGGCCAAGGTACCTTTCAAGATTTGCAAGTGACCGTTTGGTTTCAATGGCTTGGAAATTGGCATAATGATGTCTTGTCCTTCTGGCAAATCAGCAAGAGGTTCCAAGTTTTCGTTGATGGTCTTACCAGTAACGGTTAATTGGGAACCATCAAGGATACCTTCTTTGATCAAGTATTTCATAACAGCTGGAGTACCACCGACATTTTGCAAATCGGCCATAACGTATTTACCAGATGGTTTAAAGTCGGCCAACAATGGAGTGTTGTCAGAAATTCTTTGGAAGTCATCAACAGTAATGGTAATATCAAAGGAAGAAGCAATAGCAATAAGATGTAAAACAGCGTTGGTTGAACCACCGGTAGCAATGATATAAGCAATGGCGTTTTCAAAAGATTTCTTGGTGATGATATCTCTTGGTTTCAAGTCGATTTCCAACAAGTGTTTCAAAGCAAAACCAACAACAGCACATTCAGCAGCCTTTTCTTTAGAAACAGCTGGAGAAGAAGAGGAGTATGGCAAAGTTAAACCCAAGACTTCAGAAGCAGAGGCCATGGTGTTGGCAGTGTACATACCACCACAAGCACCTGGACCTGGACAAGCATGTTTAACAATATCGATTCTTTCTTCAGAAGTGATTTCTTTAGCCAAATATTGACCATATGATTGGAAAGCACTGATAATATCAATCTTATCAGCAACAGCTGGGTTGGAGGTGCCACAAGTTGGAGAACCTGGTAAAATAGTACCACCATAAACCATAATAGCTGGTCTGTTGTGTCTACCCATAGCCATTAAAACACCTGGCATGTTTTTATCACAGGATGGAATAGCAATGTTACCATCGTACAATTGGGCCATGGTCATTGTTTCGAAAGAATCAGCAATGATTTCTCTCAGTTGTAAAGAATATCTCATCCCTTCGGTACCATTGGTGATACCATCAGAAACACCAATAGTGTTAAATTGCATGGCCTTCAAACCAGCCTTGTTGACAGATTCAGCACACTTGTTGTTTAATTCCATCAAGTGCATATTACATGGGTTACCAGACCACCAGACAGAACCAACCCCGATTTGGGCACGATTGAAATCTTCATCAGTGAAACCAGTGGCATAAAGCATGGCTTGGGAAGCACCTTGTGATGGGTCTCCAGTAACAATTGAAGAATACTTGTTTAATTTCTTTTCATATTTGATAGTAGATGTGGCAAACGTCCTAAGACCACCTCTGCAAGACTTTAAACAACTCATGGTTTGATGAAGAAGAGTGAGAGAGAGAAATGAGTAATAGTTTGGAAATTTTTTTTTTTTCACTTTTAAAGCGCGAACTTTTTCCGGTGGTGTGTGTGAGTGCAAGTGCGGTTCAGGCGAGAAGGGGAAGAAAAAAAAAATGAAAAACCGGACTTTCCAATCAGATTTGTAGAATTTGTAATGAACTTGAAGTGGAGTGGATGGGTCAACAATGTGAGAGTAGATTATATGGATGGATGAGGTAGTATATGTGGTGTATTTAGAAGTACTTGTGGTGTAATTTTAATGGTTATTTGAAAAATTTGCATATTGCACACACGTGATGCGGTGGATTATCTCCGATTACATAATCAATTCGCATACCTCGGCAGCATAAAAAAAAAAATTCACTGACTCTTCTCGTTCCCCCCACTTGGGAGTCATTTACTGTCACACCAGCACGACCGTTTTATTTTCTCTGAATAAGTTGTGGGGATTTTATTTTCACAAGATAATCCGAAATCAAATAAATAGATGAGAATTTAACGTTGCAGAAAAAAAAAATATATTCTACTCTATAACTCCACGATGGCCGAAAGAAGATTATTTAAAGAATTCAACCAATACAAGAAACAACCTCCACAATTATCCAACAGTCAGATAGTATCGTTGTCTCCTGTTAGACCAGATAGTAATATTTTGGAATGGCAGGCTGTGATTGCTAAACCTACTAAAACAGATTCTCCTTATTATTATGGTGGGGAATGGAAGTTAGAGATTGACGTACCTATGACATATCCTATTGATCCTCCAACCATTAAATTTGCCACCCCGATAGTACATCCGAATATCAACTTGAAAACCGGTGAGATTTGTTTGGATATATTAAAGAAAGATAGTTGGTCCCCTGCATGGAACCTAGAACATTTAGTTGTGGCCATATTGATGTTATTGGACCATCCAGAACCCGATTCTCCGTTAAACATCGATGCCGCTAATTTGTATCGTTATGATAAAGTTGCATTTGAAAGTATAGTACAATTTAATATCTGGAAGTTTAATAATTTCTTTAATGTGAATATAACTCCTACGTCTGTGGATGCAGCAAATAAGGTGAAAAGAGATATCAGTGGCACTAAAAGTATACAGATTGGCGCATAGTTTTATATAGAATAATGAGTATATTAATGATCTTGACTAACTAATAATGTAGGAACCGATTGATCGGTTTTGTTTCCGTCGGTTTCCCCGAAATCAAAGTTAACTGGCAAATCAGAATGCTGTTGCAAATGGTTTGAAATGACCTGATGTGCAGCATGAACTGTCTGCTGCGGCATGACAAACGAAGAAAGAGAATCTGACGAGTTCCTGGCAGGACCCAAATATGGACTCTGCTGTTCTTGGATATTTTCCAACTTCTTTTGAATCAACTCCATGGTTTGTGCTTCTTTGGTTTTCAAATCCAAAATCTCTTGTTGCTGTTTCATGAATGCTTGTTGCAACTTGAGGTAGTCACGATGTTGAGCATCAAGTGCGAGATTGGCTGACGATCCTTCCGGTGTCATCTTGGATGGGGTCTCAGTAGGAGTAGTGCCACTGGCGGTGTGTACCTTAAGATCAGACAACATGCCTTCGAATGGGTTCTCTTCGGTAGGAGAATCTTTTGGTGTTTGAATCTTGGGGGTAAACATACCAGTCAATGCTGGGGTCAGCAAATTGTCCAATTCCAACTTGAACCCACCTCTCTTTTCTGGAAGAGTATATGATTTCTTGAGATGGACCTTCTTTTGCACAAACGAGTATCTTTCGTAGTGATTGTTTCCAAATTTTAACAAATCAGATAAATCCGCAAACCAGTTGTTGAAATCTGTTTCTGTGGCACATTTGAAGGTCTTTTTGGACGACTTGTTGTTATTCTTGGTAAGGACAAATTTGAACCCGTCACTATCCTTGCAACTAATGCTATACTCGTTAAGGTTATATGATTTCAATGGTTCGTCATCATGACCAACAAATCCACCAATCTTGTCCTTGGATTTTTTGCTAGCAACATTGACATCTTCATCGAATCTGAATTCATGGAGGTAGTTACATGACAACACATAGTAATGTCTCGTGTAGCTTTTCATCAACTTGGATTTTTTGTACAAGATACCAAATCGGATACATTTCGAGTGGATAGAGTTGGTATATGGAAGCACAATGGATTTGACACTTCTGTTTTCTCTCTTTGGATTCTCTGGAGTGGACTCGTACGTGTTGACAAAACACGAATTGTGGGAAATGTAATACTTCCAGTCTTGAGTTGAAGATGCACTGACTTTGGATTTCAAAAATTGGTAGTACTCCGAGTTGAAGTTGAGTTTCCCAAACTTATCAACCACCCAAGTCAATTCTTTCAAGACGTAGGTGAACAAATCCCTTGATATGTTTTGCAAGTTTATGTATGAAGCAAACATGTAGTTTTCCAAGATCAATTGGTTCTTCAAACGGTAGTCAACACGTAATTTCACCAACAAGGGGTCATCCAACACCCCGATTTCTTCACCATCAGAAAGACATTTCTTGGTGACGGGAATGTCCTTGGAATAAAGCTCAACAGCTTCCATATAAGCAGACAATACTTGACCGGTTTTGGAAATATCCTTCAACAAATCGTCGTTAGCAAATGATTCGTTTTTCAAAGAAGTCTTGATTTCTTTAATCTTGTGGGAGAGTTGTTTCAACAACATTTCCAAACGTGGGATCAACTTTGTGTTTAACTCCTTGCTGAGCTTATAACTGTTATTGAATGCCGATTGGTGGGAACTAAGCAACATCGATGGGAAGTTTGTATACAATGAATCATCGGGGAAGTAAGTCTCAGGGATTCTGACGTCAGAAGTCGGTTCAAGTTTAGGGATTGGTGGCAAAGTGTTGGTAGGTACAGGTGGCTGTGGAGGTGTTGGTGGAGCTGCAACTGCGCCTACTGCAGTAGTGACTTGGCGAAGGGAGTTTAAAGATACGTTTCTTTTGTGGAGGGGGTTTGCAGCCTTGAGGAAGGAAGTATTGCTTCCATTTGATTTTTGTTTAAACAATCCTGGACGTTTATCACTAGATGTAGTACCAACGGTGGAAACACTTGAGTTTGATAATGTTTTCTTCAATTCGTTGGTTGGGGTCGATGCTTTTGGTGAATTGGTCCCATTGTTGATCAGAATATCTTGTAATATCTTTGGAGGTAAATCCTTAAACCCTGGAAATTGTACAGCACTGATTAATTGGTAATTCAAATTCGCTTCTAATTCTTTGACAAGAACGATTTCTTTAAAGTAGTACAAGATAGCCTTGATGAAGTATTTCCAGTACTTGAAAAATTCCACTAATCGATCGATGGGTTTGGTATCATATGGAGGGAGATTACAAAAGAATGGACTTTTTGGGTCAGATGAAGGTAATATAGTCTGCTTCTCAAAATGAAAACTAGTAGGTGATGTAGCCATGATTTAGCATTTGTTTAGATAATGTTGTAGAAAATGTATTTTTGAAAAAAAAAAAAAAAAAGGGATGAAAAAATAAAGTATTCTTATAGAAATGCCAAAAAAAAAAGGTTGTCCAGATTTTCCGATAACACGCTAAGGAATAATTTTTTCTATTTATAACAGCGAAAGGAGAGAAGAGAGAGAAAAAAAAAAAAATTCGACGCAAGAGCAACGTAGCGCGGTGGAGGGAAGGTAGGGTTGAAATGATATTGTGATCCCGGGCTCAGTTTTTGTGGATGTTTGTAAATAGTAAACTGTTTGTAATAACAATGTGATTGCTTTGCACGCCCCCTGTTCTAGACATTACATGGCGTAGGTTATTGAAAAAAAAAATGCTACGTCATAGAGTAAGAATTAACGGGAAAGTAGGAATTTATGACAATCATTGCTTATGACAATCATTGCTTATGACATTTTAAAGTAAGAACAATAGAGTTGATCCGCTGATGAGGAGGGGAGAAGAGAGTAGACCACAGAAAAAAAAAAAGCAAAAAAATTCAAGTTGTTTGTCATCATCAGATTGCAGGATCTTTAAATAGAGTGATACGATAGACAGTTGTATATTCCCGCCTTAGATGTATGGTCACCCCGCGTGCATTTTAATTACTTTTCATTTTTCAACTGTTGGATTTCATGTTTCAACAACCCAATCTCAATCAACAAGTTGGTTTTGTTTCCAAAGCTAATGATTTTCAAAAGATTTTCGTTTTCTTGCAGTAACTGAGATAATTTGTGGACCAATTTGTGGCTCAATTCCTCCACATCATAGTTGTCGCTAAAATTGTTGGCAACCAACACTGCTTCTAACCGTTGGTTTGTTTCCTGCAACTCAATGGATTTATCCTGCAAGGTTTTCAGCAAATCCTGGAACAATTGGTAGTGGTTTTTGGGTAACTTGAAACTAGATGATCTGGCTTCGGTTTTGGTCATCATGTTAATCTGGTCAGTGAGGTTTTTAATGATTTGGTTCTTTAATATCAATTCCCCTTTTAATTTGTTATAATCATCCTGTAATGATTCAAAGCTGTCGTCTTTTTTGTAATACTGCTTGTTGTAATTGAGATTACTTGGAACATAGCTAGGAGCATTCATCATGGTGTTTTTCAAGTATTTATTAGTTGGATGAGTATCACTTGGATAGAATGATTCATCTTTGGTTACAGGGAAAGTTTCTGATCTAATGTGTCTTGTGTATGATTCTTCTTTCCCCAACGGCTGAAAAGTGGTTGGCTTGGACAGCAGGTTAATTGGAGTGGACGAAGACCAGAACTTGTTTCTATAATCCTGGTATTCCAAATCACCCATGATGTTGGAACTATTGGAATCTTTAGACAGCATGGTTGATAGAAAAAAAAAAAAGGGTTGTAAAAAAAAAAAAAAAACCACACACAGAAGTGGAGATTTTTTATTATTATATATTTTATACACACAATAGATACACTTAAAAATTTACACCTCCTCCAATCATTTGTTGTAGTAACTGACCATTAGGTGTGTTTAGTACCACTTCTGGGAGGTTCAATATTCTTTCTTCTAAATTCTTGCCACATAAGAAATCAATGAACACGTCGGTGAAATGGTTGCAATTATTAGTAAACAAGTCGTAACTCATAGCATGGTATTTCATATCTTCATGGTTTTTGAGATCATTTAGGAAATCGTTGATTATTTCGTCGTCTATGTAGGTTTTACCTATATCTAGAACTTCTATAGGGGTTCCATACTTTGTGTTACCTGGTGGTGAGTTGACCTTGATTCCTTGATCTAAATAGTATTCTTTATTACGGATGACAACAGATGTGTGGTAGATTGCATCTATGGATACACCTAGGATCATAGGTGAATACACCCTGGCTAACCCATGGGATAAGTCGTATACATATACTTGAACGTTGGTTTCTTCAGACATTGATAATGATGGCAAAAGCGATTACAGAGAAAAAAAAAATGTACAAGAAAAAAAATTTTTCTCCTCTTTCTTCTTGATGTATACACCACGATTCACCGTTATGATCGGTTATAATATTACAATAATACATTTGAATAATAACCATGGATGCCATTAGAACATACCTGACCCAGTTGGAAGAAATTTTAAGCAGAAAGTTTAGTGATCATTCGTTGCTTCTTGGGTTTAATGCTTCGGTCCAAGCAAAGATATATACATGGATCGTGAATGACTTGGACCAGTACCTGAAACATCCAGAAATGGAGTTTGATGCCATTGGTGTTTTTGACAAGTTGTGGACGGATTTCCATTACCCGATAATCAAGTTTTTCCAACAGCAGCATGCTGTAGTCTTTGAAGAGCAGAATCGTGAGTTGAAGAAATGTCAAAAGGAAGGTAGACCGGGGGAGTTCAAGGTTAGGCCAGTTGAAATGAGAAAGATTAATGATAATTTTATGAAATACATCAAAGAGATATACCAGTTTTATGGGAAGTTGTTGAAATATTTTACAACCAAGTATAAGAATCCCAATATTCCTGACAAGTTTCTTGAAGAGTTTAGGTTTACGGTATCTGGGAATGCAATTGAGTGTCAAGATGACAATTTTCTTGGTCATGTGATTCATTTGAGCCACAAGTGTTGTTTGTGTTTGGGAGATATGTTGCGGAACCAAGCTTTTATCGACACAAACTATGTTGTTCCATGTTTGTCAAACAAGGAGTTTTTCAAGTTCAAGTCGCTGCCAAATAAGAGGAATCACATGGGGAGTTATGTCAAAGCTATTCAGTACTATAATTTATGTATCATGTTGATTCCTGCATTGAGTGAACCGTATAACCAAATTGGGGTGATCTACAATTCCGTGGATGACAAGTTTAATGCTATATACTGGTTTTTGCGATCTCATTTCTCGAGACTTTCGGAGCACCAGTTGGGGTTTGCTAATATGAGTGCAATTTTGAAGAAACACTGGTTTACCACCGCGTTGGTTGATATTGTTAATGGGAATTCTGAGCGTCGGTTCAGCAATGCTAATGTGATGAATGTGTTTTTGGTGTGTTTACTTGGGTATATTTATTGTCCTGAGAGGTACAAGAATGGGCCAAATATTGTCAAAAAGATTCCATTTTCCAAGATTGAAACTGATTTGTTCAAGATGATTAGTAGTGATTTTGATGAACAGGTGGTATTGAAACATCTTGTAGTGATGTTTGGTATTGTTAGACTTACAAGGGAGGATGAACAACGTGACAAGTTGCTTAGGTTTGCTTTTCGATACGTGGAGAAGGTGTTGGTTTATCTCAAGACGGGTGATGGATTGATGGTGCTACGTTTTATTTTGAACTTGCTTAGAGAGAATGCTCCATGGTTGCAAGTGTTTACCTCGAGAAGAAACTGTGTGGTGTATTTAACAGCAGTGTTGAAGAGGTTTGCCAGTGACAGTACCACCCGTCCTACAAGAATGTTTTTCTTTGAGGAAGATGTGAATTTCCGAGATTGCTCTTTGATCAAGTACCAGTTTAAGGATTTCAATGACGAGGCGTTGTTTAGTCCGTATATTGCCAACATGGTTGTTGGTGATTATTCGAAATGTGATTTACAAGATGCAGTTGATGAGTATGTGGAGAGGAAACGAACTGATGCGGTGGTTGTTTTAGGAAAGAAGATACTAAGTGGAGTACAAGAGAAGAAGGAGAAGAAGCAGGAAAAGCAAGTTACCGTTCCTGCTACTATTCAGGATATTCAGCTGATGATTTCGAAACAAAACAAAGAAATTACGATGGATATTGGTCAAGGCTTGGAAAAGATGGTTGATCAGTTGGTAGCAGACGATGACGATTGGTAGATCACTCGTGATGTGTGTAGAAAAACTCTGCTGATGGGTTCTAGAAATAAACGATCGATGCGAGAGAAAAAAAATCACCTTGTTAAAATCACCTTGTAAAAATCACCTTGTAAAAATCACCTTGTAAAAATCACCTTGTAAAAATCACCTTTTTTTTCTCTTCTCTTTTTTTTTTTTTTTTTTTTTTTTTTTCAAGACAACGTGGAACCATGGAATCGATTAAACATAGGAATAACAAGACCACATACACGTTTAATACTCCACCATGCAGATGCTCCTATTGATGTGTTGAATGAGTTTTACTGGACCAAAGAAAGTGAACCGCATGTTGTTCGAAGAAAGATGATTATGCAGAAATACCCTGAGGTGAGAAAACTCACAGGGTATGAACCAAAGACCAAGTGGTATGTGATTGGTATTGTTTTGTTACAAATATCAATTGCCTTCTACCTTAGAAAGACTCCTGTTTTGTCCTGGAAGTTTTTCATTTTGGCGTATGTTATTGGAGCCACCGCCAACCAGGCTATTTTCCTTGCGATCCATGAATTGTCTCATAATTTATTGTTCAAGAAACCAATCCATAATAAATTGTTTGCCATTTTTACCAATATCCCTATAGGTGTTCCATATTCTGCATCTTTCCAACCATACCATCAATTGCATCATAAATTTTTGGGTGATAAATACTTGGATACAGATTTGCCAACCAGAATTGAAGCTATTATATTATCAAACCCATTGGGAAAGACGTTCTTTGCAACATGTCAGATTTTCTTTTATGCGTTGAGACCAATGTTTATTACCCAGATTAAGTTTACATATATTCATTTGTTGAATGTGATGTTCCAGTTGATTTTTGATCATTTTATGGTGAAATATTTGGGGTGGAAAGCTTTGGGGTATTTTATTATGAGTACATTTTTGGCTGGTTCATTGCACCCATGTGCTGGACATTTTATTGCTGAACATTATGTGTTGAATGAGAATAATGTGCCAAGAGGAGAGATGATTAAAGGTACCAACATTTCCAAGGAGTTGTTACCAGCAGAGACATATTCCTACTATGGATCTTTGAATCTTCTTACCTGGAACGTTGGATACCACAATGAACATCATGATTTCCCATACATTGCTTGGACCAAGTTGCCAGAATTGAGAAAAATTGCCCCTGAGTTTTATGATCCATTGCCACAAGTGACCTCATGGTGTGGAGTTATTTGGTGGTTTATCACACATGATGTAAACAGAGTGTGGAATAGAGTCAAACGTGATGGTAAAGAGAAGCACGGATACAAGATAGAAAAATTAGACGAAAATTAGATGATGAATATACAGAAATTCTATATGCCCTTGATAATACGAGCGATGTCATCGACCTCTACATCGAGCTTGCTTTGAACGGCAGCAACCAACTCTTCGGTTTCAACCAACTCACCTTCGTTTTCTTCACCTTGACCCAAGACCTTGATTCTGATTTGACCTTGTGGGTATTCTTCTTTACCAAGGATAACGGCCAATTTGGCGCCGGCTTTTTCGGCAGCATCAAATTGTTTACGGATGTTGGCTTTGTTTTTGTACAAGTATTCGGCATTGATACCGGCTTTCCATAACTTGTTTGTGATTTCCATTCTTTCTTTTAAGAACCCGTTCCAGCCTTCACCACCACCGAAAGCCATGACGTAGACATCGGTGTGGTTGGCACTGATGTTTTCCAAGTTGGCTCTGTTTTTAATGATGGAGAATAATCTTTCAACACCAAAGGAGACACCAACACATGGGATGGATTTACCGTTGGAGAACATACCAACCAAGTTATCGTAACGACCACCAGCGGCAATGGAACCAACACCGACATATGCAGAAGCATCTTCTTCGGTTTCTTTAGCTTTGGCTTTCAATTCAGAGGCGTTTTTTGGTGGAGCAGAGGCAGCAGTGACGGCTTCGTAGATCAAACCAGTGTAGTAGTCCCAAACCCCTGGCTAAGGACAAGTCAAAGGATAAGTAGTTGTTGATACCGAAGGCATCGACGTAGTCGGCCAAGATTTCCATTTCCTTGATACCTTCTTGAGCGGTGGCACTAGATTTGATGATTTCATTTCCTTGCAAGTATTCCAAAACTTCACGGATAGAACCATTGTGTTTGACAAATTCACCAATCTTGTCGGCGACGGCTTCGTCTTGACCTTTTTCATTAACCATTTCAGCTTTGACTTGTTTCCATTCGACTTTGTCCAATTTGTCAACAGCAGAGGAGACTTTTCTGACGTCTTCTTCTTTGACACCACAGGCTTCGAAAATACCGTCCAAGATCTTTCTGTGGTTCAATTTGACTTTAAAATCTTGAATACCCAAACCAGTCAAACCATCACATAACAATGCCAAGATTTCTGAATCTGGGACCATGGTGTCGTAATTACCGGCAACGTCGAAATCACATTGGTAGAATTCTCTCATTCTACCTTTGGTCATGGCTGGTTGATCTCTTCTGTAGACTTTGGCAATGTGGTATCTCTTGATGTTGGCAATGTTGTTGCAGGCGACAAATCTGGCAAATGGGACAGTCAAATCGTATCTCAAAGAAGTAAGTTCACCACCTTGATCTTCCAAGTTGTAGATCAATTTAGAATCTTCACCATATTTACCAGTCAAGATTTCTCTCAATTCAAAGACTGGGGTGTCGATGGTGACACCACCGTGTTTTTTGAACAAGTTGGATAATGTACCGAAGATGGCCTCTCTAATGACCATATCCTTATCGGCCCAATCCTTGGTACCCTTTGGGGTTTTCAATACAAAGTCTTGAACTTTTCCTTTCTTAGGAGCTTTTGTTTTTGGGGCAGTCATGATGAATCGTCGTATCATGGGGAGATGAAAGATGTGGTGAAAAATTTTTTTTTCATTGCGCGATAAAAAATTAAGTGGGAAAAAAAAAAAAATACACCTGGAAAATCGTGGTTGGTGGGACAAGAGGGGTGGGATAGGTGTGATGGTGGTGGTGTTGGTGGTGGTGTTGGTGTTGGTGGGTGTGATGGTGGGTGTGTGCTAATGGTGAGTGTGTAGGTGATGTTGGTAAATATTTGTGTGAAATTTGTAGGAAATTTCGAAGAAAAGTTGAAATGAAATGTGGCTGGGTGTTTTTGGTATAATGATCTTTATACTTGAAGTATGGATTTCATGACTCACTGGGTAATGACTATATGCGATGTTATGGCAATAGTAGCCACGAGATATTGGAGGGTTTTTTGGCATAATTAATTGAATATCTAGAAAACCGTCTACACACTGTCCGGAAAACCAGGGTGTTTTCAGCTTTTAGTTTATAACTGTCCTTCGGATGAATCAATAACAATTGTAGTGTAGAACAATTGACAGCTATAACTCTTCAGTAAATTTTAAGCAGTATATTCAGTAGAAAACAATAGAACAATTGATTAATTATCTAAAAAGAAACATCTAAAAATAAAATAAAAAGGGAATTCATCTACTTAAATAGTAATTAGATGAATTCATCGATGAGTCATACTCAACATCAATTAGTAAGCAATAGCATTAGTAATCAATATCAAACATTCTCCGTAAGCAATATCAGAACATTCCATAAGCAATATCAGAACATTCCATAACCAATATCAGAACATTCCATAACCAATATCAAAACATTCCATAAGCAATATCAAATCTGATTAGTAATCCAAATGTATTGTGATCCAAATCTAGATCACAGAATACAACATCCTCCCCTTATTAAACCAAAGACTCGTCTGTATTGGAAGTATCAGCAATTCTATCACTAAATAATGTTTTAGCATTCTCAAACAAAGCTCGTCTCAAGTGGACGGGAACAAACTTGTTGAACCAATCCAACAGCACCCTAGTACAGTGATTAGGACGACAACCCAACCAAGTAACATCAAGCATCTTGTTTTCCAAATCTAAACCTAAGATAGCACTAACTTCAGCAGCTCTCACTTCACTTTCTTTCCCTGGTCTCGGCACGTCACGGAAAGCCACTTCATCTAACAAGTACTTCCTGAAATATCTGGAATTAATCACCCTATCTTTCTTGACCATAGTAGGCAAGTCCAACTCATAAGCATTCTCGTTTATCACCTTCACAATCTTGAATGGGCCATAATAAACTGGGGTAAGTTTCTTGTATTTTACCAGCGTATAGTAAGCATCTCGGTGTAACAAAATCCATTCTCCTAACTTATATTTCTTACCTTTCCTCCCCTTGTTAGCCTTTTTCTCCATATCATCTTGATACCTAGACAATGTATCCTTGATATAAGTTCGGATCAACTGGGTACGATTAACCAAAGCAGCAGCATCAGCATTAGTGTGAACCATTCTCAAATCTGACAAACCCACTGGATCACGAGCAACTCTACCAAAGAGTGCCTGATAAGGAGTCATACCAATAGCTTTAGACCAATGAGTATTCAAAGTAAACTGAACAATTTTCAAATAAGTAGACCAATGTGCAGAATTAAGACCACAGTAAGCACGAAGCAACTGAACGACGGATTTGTTGATAGCTTCAACTTGACCGTTTGCCGCGGGATTATTTGTAGAAGTAGTTCTCATCTCAACACCATAATACTCCATGATGTATTGGTAAATCAGATTTACGAA